ATTCTGCATGTGCATCAGTTCAATAAGTGGGTCAAGAGAAGTCTGTCTTCTCCCCCACCCCAATATGACTCGCGATCAGTTGAGATTTAGAGGGATAATTCACTCAAAAATGTATGAGGACTTATACTTATACTTAAATTAACTTTCTTTAGTGTGTGATGTTTGTGTTTGAGCATGAAAAGGTCTGTAATGTTACAAAGCACAAAGTCACTCAAAGTGAGTTATTCTCTATCAGTGTCACTGATTCTGAACTCCCTGAAACGCCTCCAGTGTAGTCTTGAGTTTTCTCCCGGGAAGGAACACGTCACAATATTCCTCATTTAAATAATTCCCGTCCATACGCAAAATAAAGGGGTGAGGACTGGTTGAGTTAGTTAGTAGTGTGTTGAAACTGGCAGTTATGGTAAGGGGAGTGAGATTTCTCCAAACACGCTCGAAGCGGTTGACCAATCACAGCACACTGATCCAGCCGACCAATCAGAGCACATCGATCCAGCTGACCAATCGACCAATCAGAGCACAGTGTGCTTTTCAGAAGGAAGGGCTTCATGGAGACAGGAACTAAACAGAGCGTTACTGACAGACTGGGAAGAGAGGAGCTGCAACAATGGAGAATATGTGAAAAATAAGGAACATTCAAGCATGTAAACCTATTCTAGTTGAGCCGAAAACCAAATCAAGACTCTGTAAAAAGGCATAATAGTTATCTTTAAAATTCTGTACTTTTGGTCTCTAAATCTGCATGATTTTCTTCTGTGGAACACACAAACTTCTCAGTGATCAATCCAATGAAAGTCAATGGGGTGAAAAATAGCAACATGGACCCTATTAAAGCCATACACATTTGAAACAACATGATGTCGAGTAAATGATGTCAGAATTGTCATTTTTGGGTGAACTATCCCTTTAAGACTATGATCTTTCACCAGGTTATGACTATGTCCTTTCATCACCCCGATAGAGATCAATAGATCATTATTTTTCCGTCTGATCATTCGATCGGTGTTGTCTCACACGTGACCTTAACCTCAGCCATGTACAGACATGCCACTATTTTGAAGATTTGAGGAAACTAGGAGAAGTCATTGAGACGAGCGTTGATGCATGATCTTTACGTTAGTATCTATGCATGCAGTTTATGGGACAGGATCTAGCTTTATATGACATGCAGTTCAGGTAACAGACAGCATGGAGGGGGTTGTAGGGAATACAGCACTCCTCTGCCTTACTGACCTAGCTAGAGCACACTGACCATGTGTTTACGGTACAACGGTGGACCTAAGAGATTGTTTAGGCCACTTGTCATCGCATTGATTCATCATTCTAATGGACAGAACTGGAGTTCACAATTTAAGCAGAATTTTCTACATTTACTTTTCCCTCGCATCTTCACAGATTATATGCTGTTTGAAAATCTCATTCTCCTTTCTCCACATTTGTTTCTACTGGACTGTATTTGAACAAAAGAAAAAGAAAACACTTTTCAGTAGTTCTTGTTTCCTACACACTCACTCTCTCTCTCTAACGTTTCTGTCCCTTTAAACAGAACACTGAACCTTTCAGGCATTAAGTAATACTTTTTTTCTTCATTGATATGATTGGCAACTGCTAATGTGAGAGGTAACTTGATCTATAATATGTATGTTTTACTCTGACATGATTGTAAAAAATGAATAAATCCCGATTTTGCTTATTAATTTAATTTACAGTAATTTAATGCTTTTCTGTTTACATTTTGATCATGTTTTTGAGTGTGAGAGTGAAATCTATCTTCATAAACGTACTGTCAAACTGGACATCTGATGATAGGTTGATGAGTTAAACTGGATTTATTAAAATGATCCATGTGACTGTGGCTGTTACCAGCAGAACTATAATTAAAACTATATAGATAAACTTAACTATATAAATAACTGTATACTACCAAAAGTTTGGGTCAATAAGCTTTTTAATGTTTTTGAAATAAGTCTCTTATGCTCATTTAGCAAATTTAGCATCTATTTTAATGTTTCATATATTTATATTTAATATATACAATTTTATTTATTCCTTTGATCAAAGCTGAATTTTCAGCATCATTACTCCAGTCTTCAGTGTCACATGATCCTTCAGAAATCACTCTAATATGATGATTTGCTGCTCAAGAAACATTAAAATCAATGTTTAAAACAGTTTTAGAAGATATTTGTGCTGCTTAATATTTTGTGGAAGCTGTGATACATTATTTCAGGATTATTTAATTAATACAAAGTTCAAAAGAACTGCATTTATTAGAAATAGAAATTTTCTGCAACAATATAAAAGTCTTTGCATTAATCGAATTAAGACTGCACTTATATATGGTAAGATAAAATATATTATAACTACTATTAAAACATTGAATGGGGTCTAATGATTACCCATACACAAATCTGCAGGGGTCTGAATGTGTCAGTCAAAACTGAAGTAGCCTACAGTGTCCACCAAAAAAGTAGGCTATATGGGCTCTTTAAAAAGTATAACTGTCATTTTAATTTTATTAGGAAACTAAATATAAAAATAAGTGGCTTATAAAACAATGTAAGAGCAGTGTTAAAGAATAAAAAAAAAAAAAATATGACATAAATATTTATTTATGTATTTATTTGTGGAAATGAAAATTGAGCGCCGCTCCACTAGAGGGCGATATACTTTAATCTGATTTGAGACCCACGGTCTCGTGTGACGTAATCCTCTCCGTTTCACCAGGCAGGCCCTTATCTAGAGGTCTCTGTAAATAAAGCTATTAAAACGGTGTATTCAGAACTAACAGTCGTGTGTGTGAATATAACGTGATCGATGAGTGTTCAGTGTTTCAGAGATCCTCTCACGGAGAGACGGACGCTCGGGTAATGATGATGTCGGGTGAGTAACTGCGCGTGCCCTGGTGGTGGTGATGATGATGATGTGGACTGTGTTTGGTTGGAGCTTTAACACACTTTCTGTGTTTACGAAACTCGTGAGCTCATCAGCGCTCCTACTTCTGTGTGTGTGTGTTTATCGGTTTATCCCTGATGAGAGTTTGCGAAGTCAAGTCATTTGTTAAGCGGCGGTAGTTGTTCTTTCGCCGTTTTTAGATCAAACACTGAGTTTATGTTTGTTAACGGTTGGAATTTTTCAGCGATAAGACAACCCGGTAAGGTGATGTAAATGCGTTCATTGATAAACATAGTTTACGTTAATCGTTTAAAAAAAGACATAAGTAGCTTTAGAGTAGTTTGCTACCTTTTGTTAGCTAACGTTACCTGTAAGTTAGTGTAGCTAACAACTGTTTATGCTTCCCTGAAGTTTAACGGGTTTACATAGTTGTATAAGTTAGCTTTGGTTAACACCAAAGTAACCTCCGCAAGGTTTTTAGTTGTTTTACTAACACTGTATCAGTGATGTACTTGTTTATACTACTGTTTTTTTAACACGTCACTTCAATTTATTGATTCATCACGTGATAGCCCAGGTCATAATAATTGTCAATCTTCAAAATGCCTGTCAGTGTGTCTTTATCACAGTCTATGGCAGTGGTTCTCAACTCCAGTCCTCAGGACCCGCTGCTCTGCACATTTTGTATGTCTATCTTATCTGACACACTCAGTTCAGTTCATAGTCCATCCTAGCGAGCTGAGGATCTGAATCAGGTGTGTTAAATAAGGGAGACATACACAATATTCAGAGCAGTGGTCCCGAGGACTGGAGTTGAGAACCACTGGTCTATGGTATTTATCAGTGTTTACATGACGTTCAGCCTCATCGTTTTTTCACGTGTGTCTCTGTAGATACTTAGGATGTTTTGCTGCTCTGAGGAAAAGCATTTTTGAGTTATGAACCGCCAGTGAACGTCAGTTGTGCTGCTTTATAAACGCATGTGCGCCAGAGTGATGGAGAGTGACTGTAGGATCCCCATGTCCTGTCTGAGACCCCGGATCCTGGCCCTGCATGCGCTATTCTGGGGTTTAGTGTCTCTCAGGTAAGAAAAAAAAGAAATTGATTCTCTCCGAATGCAAAACATAACCTTTGATCACGTTTACTCATTCCACCTTTTTTTCTAGAGTGTTTGGAGCAGCTCTTCTTAGCGATGAGAAGGCAGCAGGTACTACTGTACAAACATCAGGATTTCATCAAAGATTGTTCTGCTCGAGCGTACCAAGTTCATATAGTAATAATCCTTGTGTTTTTTTTCTTTTGCAGTTGCAGTGACAAAGGCAATGACAGCACCATGTTGGCAGCTGGAGGAGTTTGTGGTGGCTAAAGAGTGCAGTGCATGCGAAGGTTTCCATTCGGTGAGTTTCTGGGATGTGCGCGCACAAACACAGAAGTTTAGGGTCAGTAATATTTATTTAAGGTTTTTGAAAGAAGTCTCTTATGCTCACCAAGGCTGCATTTAATTGATCAATAAAACAGTAACACTGTGAAATATTATCACAATATATTTTGTATTTTAATATATTTTATTCCTGAGATGCAAAGCTGAATTGATCCTTGAACATGATCCTTCCGAGATCATTTTAATATGCTGAGAGTTGTGCTGATTAAGAACAGCTTTTATATGAAATAGAAATATTTTACAACATTATAAATGCCTTTACTGTCGTTGTAGCTCAATTTAATGCTTCCTTGCTGAATAAAAGTGTTATTTCTGTTTATACATGTATGTGTAAATAGATTGTGAATTGTAAATGTTCCAGAAGAAGCGCATTTTTCATTTGTGAGAATTAATTGAAAAGTTTCCTTTGTTTGCTTTGCAAACCCTCTTTTCAGAAGTCAATACCAGCCTGCAGCCAAACAGGGTTTGTAGAAACCATCAACTGCACTAAGTCTAACAGAGAAGAGTTCAAGAGGTGAGTGGCTCTCCATCCAGCATATATATCCTATTCTGGGGTGCGTTTCCCAAAGCCAAGTATAGTCGCAAGTTCTGTCGTTACAAACACCGTTCAATGGAACATAGTTGGCTAACAATAACACACACCAGTTCGGTTACCAATACCCAGGTCTCTGTCCATATATTTTTATGCAAATTCTAAAATTATAAACCACAAGTAATTTATTACATTTAAGAAGTCACAGTAGCTTCCCCAATTGCTACAACTTAAATCTGTTTTGTGCTAAATTGCCCGAAAGTGATGATTTTGTAACTCTGCTTTATTTGCAAATTATATCATGTTGATATTGTGGTTTTATATATGGTCAGACACTTGCATTTGTCATTAACATTCACCAAAACCAAGCTCAAATGGAGTTACGAGGTGTTTGACCAGTGAATGTCAGACGTGTGTTTTATCCGTCATCAGAACATCTGCATCTGAGGCAGTAAGTGTATCGCATTACATTTTCATCATCTTACAGGTTATAAGGTTTATTGTAGCTATGTGGACGCTCAGTCATTTGGCCAAAATCTCATGTTATAAAAGATGAAGTGCTTCGCACAGGCTATATGTGAATAAAAGCCTAAATTAAATATTTAGAATTAAATAAAGCAATTGAATCTCCTAAGAAAATTTGGATTAAACGCTCAATTCATATGAATTAGTTTTACGATCTCTTTATGAAGTTTTTGAAGCGTCAAAGTGGTAGTTGTGTAGCTGTCAATAGAGGGACCGAAATCTCTCAGATTTCATTAAAAAGATCAGAATGACATGAGGGTGAGTAATTAATGACAGAATTTTTGGATGAACTATCGCTTTCTAAGACACTCTTCTTTGCTCCTCAAATACATAAAGCATTAGCCTTTATTTATATATATATATATATGTATATGTGTGTGTTTCTTGAGTAAAGAAAACGCAGTACTTATTCAAACAACCAGTTTATTTACCCTTGCATTGCAAACAAGCAGAGACGCTCCACAATGTGTGTGGCACTTCATTCATGATAGAGGTGGGTGGAGTTATGAGGATTGACTGACAGTTTGAGGATCCAATGGAGTTACGAGGTTTAGTCACAAGCTCTTTCCAATACTTTTCATTTGCTTAAAGCTACACTGTGTAACTTTTTAAGTTTATTCTTAGCTAAAAACACTTAGTTCTTTCAAAAATATATGTGCTCATTAATGTATATTTACTTCGTTCAAGTAATAAAGTATTCTCGTGAGTGTATAATATGCCATTGAAAATGCATACGGGTAAGGGGTTCTAATGTCGGTCGCCATGTTGCCCCTCCATCTTGAAAGTACATTAGCCAAAGAGGGACATACCCGTTAATTCAAGCTTCGCCTTTCGCGTTTTAACACTCGATGGCACCGTGTCGAATGTCAAGAGGGGGATTGCTTGAGACTGATATATAAAAACCTTAAAGCCTTTTTGAAAGTCTGTTGCTGATGGAGGATCACTCTTATTCTCGAGGATACGTATCAGTCGCCAAGGAAGCGAAAAAGAGAATTAAGACGGCAACGCAACAGGCAAATCAACAAGACAAAAGTAAATATTGGAGTGGCCTTTCCAAGATGGAAAGAGCTCATGACGAGCAACGATTTTAAAAAGGACGCCGACGTTGCCTGCTTTCTTCTCGACAGGTAACGTTAATTAATCTTGGACTACATTGGCCACCGTAGGAGTTAAAACGAAATCGGAATTGAGAGGAACAGAAACTAATATTCACTGGATGGTCATATACCTTTTCACCGCTAGATGGGGGTAAAAATCACACAGTGTAGCTTTAACCCACAGGCAAACGTAAAGGGCGACCAATTATTTCTGGCTTACTATAATTCATCCTTTGGTATTCCAGAAAAATCATACTAATTGAATTCACTTTTTCTCTTGTTTTCCATTCAGCTGTCGCTCAGCCAAAATGGAGGAGCATCTCTTCTGGAAGTTTGAGGCCACAATGCTGGCTCTCACTGTTGTGTTTGCAATAGTGGTGGTCGTAAGGCAACGCTCACTCGACCGCCAGGCCTCAGACAAGGTTCGGAGACAGATAGAATGTATTTAGTTGACCGGGCGGACTAAAAGTGGGTGTTATAAACTCTCAGAAACCCAACAGTTCATGGAGACTTCCAGACTTTATCACTGGTTTATTCTTACTGGACGCACAAAGACAAAGCTCTGAACGGACACGGTGTGCTCTTACTCCCCCAACTGACATTACTGGTGGATGATGCTTCTCTGCAGGATCTAACTTTAGTGGACTAGATGTGAACATCCATTCAAATCAACAAACAGTATGCAAGACAGGAGTAAGACAGTCCCTATTTTGTAACAGAAGATGTACAGCTCTGCGATTACCTGTTCTTTCAAATGCTGTGAAGGTGGTGTGTGTTGCATGTTTTAAATAATCCTGAAGCACATCAAGTATTTTGTTAAACTGAGAATGAACTGTCCTGAAACAAGAAATACTTTTCCTCACTATGCGTTTGTTAGTTTTGTTTTTTGTTCATTTTGGAAAGTGCTACACTTCCCGACGTTCTCCAAACTGACACTCAATCCATTTATTAACATTAACAGGTTTCTTCCAGGAACATAAAGTAGCTTAATTAATCTTATGTGTGCAGTTGTCATTTGTTAAATCCTTGTTTTCAGTATAAACTTTTATAGAGACTTGTAGGTGCCCTTTATTAAAGTTTTAATTTTTTTTTTTTTTTTCGGTCATTGTGTTTTACTTCCAGTCTTTGTCCTCATGAGTTGAGATATTTTATGTACAATGTGAACAAATGTCTTGGTTCTCAAAAATACCAGCTCTGTATTCAAATTTGATTGATATATGCAAGACTGCATTAGTGTATTTTGAAGCTGCTTGACTTGATGCGATGAAAAGTAAAAGATTTAGTCAAATTCTTTATTTGTAAAGTTCTTCATAGCAAAATATCAACATTGTGTCAGCTTCTTGTTTAGTGAAGGTGATTTTGTTTTGAACTTGAAAGATTTATTTCCCATCACTTTACGCTCCTGGTTTTGGGAATAGAACTTTTCCCCCGTTTGTTTATTTATTATTATGATTAGTTTAACAGAGTAATGCCTTTTTTGCTAAGGCTGATTGGTGGTTTTTAAATTCCACAATTTATAAAGGAAGCCATGTGAATTTCATCAGGCTTTGTTCTGTAGGCAATTCTAACGATCTACCTAAAATGTAAAAGGTGTTTTCATGAAAGATGTGTTTGATGGACAGAGGAATAAATGGGAATAAGGAATTGTTCGTCTGGTGTCACATGATTCTGTCATGGTGGAATATAATGTATATTGTGATGAAAGTAAAAAAAAAAAAAAAGAGAGATCACAAACTCCATAAAAAGAAATGAGAGCACTTTGATCCCTTTGGGCAGGAGCAGATGTGGCCATGCTGAGAATATGCCATGGCAGAACAGAACTTGGCTGTGTTACACTGTGGAAAGGAAGAAAAGGACAAATGGTAAGAGGCACGTTCCTCTCAAATGCACACACATGTTTTGTCTGCACATTGATTTGAAGCCAGAGTTTCTCAATTTGGGATTAGCAAACCCATGGGACCTGGGATGGAATTGTATAATTTGATTAAACGAAAACAAGAATAACAAATGGCCATTAGCCGAAAATATTACTGTAAATCTCATGAAGCACTTCAGGAAAATAATTTCGGGAAAGGTTTTCAGTTGACCTTAAAAAAAAAAAAGTTGGGAAGGTCTGTCTTCTTAAATGCTAAATTTCGCATGCTACTTTACTGCAAAATATACACGACAATCGTTTTTGTCACAATATTCAGACTTAAGCAAGAGACGCATTAAATACCAGAATTGTTATCCTCCTTCTTTTCAGACGTCTACATACGCCTGGAAGACGGTTGAACTTTTTCTTCAGAATAGGCACGCCCTGTCTTTGAAGATATTTTTTATGTTCTGTGACATCTCTTGTCTGAAACAAATAGCACGTTTTCCGATTATCTAATGAGCCGAAGTCAAAAATGCACGCGCAATTGTTCAATTTACCTCTTCAATCGCGTCATCAGTGCCCGCAGTCGGCTCGTAGTCTGGCGGTCTTGAATCCACGCCGCTGATTTTAGAATAAATGTATATAACACAGTGAATTGCTACGAAAAGTATAGGTAATTTCGTCATTGTAATAAAAAAAAAAAAAGAAGATTATTATAGTCACGTAGGAGCGCTTGCTGTTGTTGCGAGGGATCTGGCACGAGTTTTCACGCCGTGGGATTTAAAGGATCTAACCTGTTCCTTGATCATATAGAGTATATACGTAGATGCCTCGTTAGCGGCTGTTTGTATGGGCTGCGATAAGCTATCCGCCATATTGGAACGGTCAAAGCAAAATCGGGTCCTCTCTCGAAATCCAACTATCAGTTAATAAATACTAGGAGATACGAACGATATTTATTTAAAATATGTATAGCTTATAGTGAAAATACTTTCACTTGTTAAACTGTTCATTAATAAATAATAAATAATAATAATAGCCTATTAAGTGAATAATTGAACATCATTACATCTTTTTATAACAAATCTTTGGACATTTAACACTTAATTTTACAACTACATTAAACATGTGTGTGAATACAAGTAGCCTATGTGGTAGCTAAGTGCAAATGCGTGTATAAAGTAGATTATCAGGCTAATCAAGTATTTGCATGCTATGCTAGTACATAAGCTAACTAATACAGACATAAATGGTCATTGTAGTTCAAACAGCATTTATCTCAACATGATGTTGTAGGAAATGTAATCAGGTGCTAAAGAGAGTGCCTATGCCCTTTAAAAGTAATTTTAGCCAATGGAATCACTTGGGGTCCTAACATTCATGCCATGTTGTAATTACTGCAATAACATGATTTAAATGATTTGTAGATATCATAATTACAGCTTGTAAGATGGGAATTGTTTGAGAGCTCCTACTTGTGACTGCTGTACCACCTGACCGCAACAAATTCATTTTGGCATTGATAGTGGTGCCACTGCCAACGCATAATTCCCAGTACGAGGACGTGAACAGCTCTAAATAAAACGTCATGTGTTATCATCTCAGTAATATACGACATTGGCTGAATGCAGCAAGAGACATGATTTCGCGGAAGACCTTATTTAAAAATTAAAATCGTATATTGAGTTAATACATTATAAAAACACAAACCAACACATTCTCACCTGTGAAAGCTTATCCCATTGCTTCTGGAATTTAAATCTCTAAAACCAGAAGCCAAGCAATGTTATGGCATCATTGATTCCTACTGTGAGTGACGACACGCTGACCGTTCCAAGATGGCCGGAGGACCGACGTGTCTGGAGCGGTCGAATGAGGAATCTACATATATACATATCTATGGTTGATCCCCCCCTTCTCATGGACTGATAGAACAGAGCGGTTTAAAGAGATGTTCGAGTGTTTATCGCGGCCAGTACATGTTGACAGATTTCACTTTACGCAACTCATCCGTCGCGTTTGCGACATTTCCTTGCTTTCATAATGACGACGACTAACCCGTGAACAGATCTCACAGTAATCCTCTTTGTTTCAAAGAGGATTTAATAAAACAGAGCTTGTTGTTTTTGTCTAAATCCAGGACTAAGCTCTTCAACCGCAGATCTTTTAATATTAAAAATCTTTACATATGTTAGCCTACATAAAAAAATAGTTTTCAACCGTTTCAGTGACCACAGAAGTTAAAAATGCTGGGTTGTTTCAACCCATGTTTGGGTCAAATATGGACAAACAGTTTGGTTTAAATTTAATTCTAAATTCTAAATTCTAAATTAAATTATAAAATAAATAAATCAATGTTTGGGTTTGTACACATTTGACCTAAAAATGGATTGAAACAACCCAGCATTTTTATGCCATTGTCAGTGTAGTAGGCTATCATACAGGTTATTTACATATCACAAATATAATCACAAAACGCTGTCGCTTTTCTAAGTTAGCTAAACACATCAGAAGACATTTTTGGTTGCGCGAGAAAAATCTCAGATTGCGGCCCGAAAATTACTGACATAAATTCTATCATGAACTTCTGAAACCCTAATCCATTCATGGCGATTCAAATAAACGGTCAGCAGTATTTCAGTTGTTGATACTGGCACTTGTTGATCATATCATAAATATCGCAGCCCTGTAATAATATTCACCAGATCTTGTTAGTGTTTTAAAACGTTTTTATTAAACATATTTAAATGATAAATTCACAGAGAATGTAGACATACCTTTCATTTAGACAATATACAGAATGAATGAGCCTTAAAGACATTAACAAAAAATAAATAAACACGGTTAAACATACACATCTAGTTTATAGTCAAGAGTACGAACAATAGGCTACAGCTTCAATACATCACCCATGCCAATTAAACTTAAACAGACGAGGTTTCCCACGCGTCGCTGTCACGAGCTTCCTCGCACAGAGCCTGAGAGAGAAGAGTTGCTCGAGGCTGGAGAACATCAGTAGCAGCGCAAGAAGAAACTATTGCAGGCTGTTCCTCGCAGACAGTCGCAGAGTCTCCCGATGCGCGGGCCGTGCTTCATTGCGCAGCGCTCGCCAACATCACACTAACACACGAGAGCACATGGGTCAATTTTATAGGCGACATCTTGCTTGTACTTGGTGATAAACACTATTTGTAAGTTAATCGGAAGAAGTAGAAGAAAAAGTGGAGTAATGTGGTTACCCTCGGAATGACGCTAGCTTTCTTCTCCACAGATATCCGATTGTCCTGATCTCCATCCAAAAGTTCATCGAGCGCCTCGGTCTAAACGCAAACGGCGAGAAAGCATTGCATTCATTCGGAAGACAGATTAGAAACTAAACAGAATTTAAAGATGCATTTCTGAGGTAGTCTGATATATATCCAAGAAAGAAAAAAAAAAGTTAGTATACTGTGATAATCATTGCAGTTACAGCAAATTACGCGGAGGAGCAGTTAGTTTCAAACACTCTAAAAAATGCTGGGTTGTTTCAATCCATGTTTGGGTCAAATATGGACAAACCCAACAATTGGGTTTAAAAGCTTAATTAAAAAATTAAGCTTTTCCATTTAATATAGAGAAGTCAGCCCTCATTTGTACTGCTCGCAATGTTTTTCAGATTACGCTGAAACTTTTTTTTTTTACATCAACAGGTTAAAACTGTATTTGCTGAGTTGTGCTATGTCAGTGTGGTTGGTCTCTCACCAGGTCTCGTGTGATGAACTGCTCCTCTTGTGTGGTCAGGCGGTTGTCCAGTGACATCTGACCCCTGCAGACGCACAGCAGCGCGAGGAGAACGCCCAGGTAAACGGCCGCGCGGACGCTGTCCATGGTGCTGAATGCGCGAGTCAAAGCGGAGGGTTTAAAGTTAAGAAAAATCCTCTTTATTACTACTTTCTGCTTCAGCTAAACCAGCGTTGAAAGTTTCCCTCGGCTCTTGTGCTCTGGCTGCCGCTTGCTATTGCTTCAGGTTGCTGGGAAACCTTCTCTATTTATACGATGTTCCTGCTACCTGATGTATTCACGCAACAACGTCACCACATACGTTTTTTTTTTTTCGTTTTTTTTTTTTAGAAGAAGAACCAGCTGCGAGTCAGTCGCTTTAATTAATTGAACACAAAGAATGTTTCATTTATGCATTTTTTTTTTTTTTTTACAATCATGACAGAAGATCCATTTTGGTCTCCCCAAAGAAACTTTTTTTTTATTCTTGTTAATTATAAATAATATTTTTCCACTATAAAGAAACTTTTTGTGCATTGGAAGGTTTCAATGGATGTGAAACGTACATGGAACCAGAGATGCCAATAAAGACCCTTGATTTTTAAGAGTATAGAGTGAATGTTGGTAAACATTGTGACATGAAGATTGTCATCAGAAAGTACAGTTTGCTTTTATAATCCTCTCTCTCTCTAAAATTACTCATAATCATTTATTTAATTCACATGTAAAAGTCAGTCTCAGCATTTCATCTGTTCATTGTTGTATCAAAGATTGTGTGAAATGTTGGCGACAGTGATTACAATAGTTAAAAAGTCTCCATGCAATTAAATTGAGCAAAAAACAAGAGCATTAATTACAGGTCTTTTAATGAAGTGTTTTATGAATTAACTGAGTTAATTCCACTGATGTCTGGAGGGTTACACGCCGCTAACTGGCAACCGCTGTTAAACAATATGTAATTATTTATAAAGATGAATATATCAAGTCATTGCCCATCTATATTCACACATATTATCTGTGTCCATACACACACTGGTTTGTGACCTACACTCCTGGACAAAAAAAAAAAAAGAAAGAAATGTAACCGTCTAAACCAGGAATTACTGGTCAGGAAATTAGCAAAACGTACTACACTATTTAAAGCCATTGCTGTCTCAGAAAAACTTCAAAGACAGACTGAAGTTTTTGGCAGGATATGGGAAGTTGTGTGTGAGTGATGAATCACAATGAAACGTGACTTGCATGGTGATGCTCCAGACAGAGCGGCGTCTTCCAAAATCTGCTGAGAAAATAATAAATGCATCTCTACCACAGGGAAGCATGGAGGAAGAGGCATTTCAGCCGCTGGTGTTGGCGAGCTTCACTGTGAAACGTCATTTAATGCTTTATATTGCAGAATGGCTTGCTTCCCACAAATGAAACGTTATCTAAAGAGGAATGATGAGATGCTATTCCTCAACAAGATAATGCTCCTGCACACACTGCAAAGACAACATCAGGCTCATGTTTTGGCTGGTCAGAGTCCAGATTTGAACCCTATAGTGAATATTTGCTCTCACATTAAATTCCAACAAACTGGGAGACGTTTTTCAACTACTCATGAACTGTTTGAAGACATTTACATTGAGTGGAACAACACCTGTAAAATCTGTCTGTAAGTCGGCTATGCTAAGTTACAGTATTTGTGCAATTCTTGCTAATTTCCTGACAAGTGATTTGTGATTAAAATGGTTAAAAACATAAAAAGGGCACTAAATTTTTGCCTTGGCCCTTTTTTCTTTTCTTTTTTGTTTTTGCCCAGGAGTGTATATTTCACAAGTGCTGCTGAAGGAAGATATGGTCAGATATTGTTCTTCGTGGAATATCTGCTGTATGAATGACCTATATCCCATCTGGCAATGCTCTTCGGAATAAAAAAGGATCAATTTTTATCCTTGTTCTGACCTTTGTATGTCAAGTTTTACTTGAAACGTGTGAAATGTTCTGTGTTAGACAACACTGTGCAGGGATGCAGTATTGGCATCTTAAATTAATAGACAGAAAAAAATCGATGAAAAAGCTACAAAAGAAGGAAAGCAGAGTTATTATGCAACATCGCAAGCTTAAATAATTATGTGTGATGTCAAAAGAAGCACAATTGACACAATATATCTTATAATTATGAATTTTTCAACTATTTATCTCTTAAGTATTCACATAGTTTTGCCTTTTGTCAGTTTATTATTTTAAAAGATGAACTAAAGAATCAAGCAATAATTACATTGGAACTGAAATTTCAGGTCATTTTTAATCCCACAGTTTATTGCTAAGAATGATAAATTCCCCACTCTTGATTTGACTCTTGAGATTTCCCCCATAATGTCTTGAGCAGAGCATGACAGGAGGAAGACAGCTTCTCGACAATGTCTTAGATTCGGATTCGGTGCGGTCAGATCTCTGACATTTCAGCACATCTCAGCGTGTCTCATTTCTCTCCTCTCATCCTCTCAACGGCTCGTAATTAAAGCTCCGCTCTTCTAATGCCAAAGCTCACACTATTGTGAAAACCTGTGAACATATGAGTGACTCATATCATCCATGCCGGACCATCCAGACATCTAGTCCTCAGGGAATTCATCTTCACCTAGTCGAGAGTTATGGCTATCATTTCTGTCATCTTAACAGAGCTAAGACTGCTTTTATGCTTCATGTCTGTATAGAAATGAGGGCATTTGTATTTATATAATATGTAATACATTAAATGAGAGCTAGTGGACATGTAGTTGCAGTTACTTATAGTTAGTAGAATGTCTAAAGTGGACTATTGAAATATAGTGTTATAGGCCTATCACTATTGGAAAAATTGTTCAGTGGGGTTCTATATAAAGAGAAATGCCTTAAATGATTGCTTGATAGGCTACTTTTAATGTTAAACAGGTTATTTCATTTGTTTCTAAGTGTTTACAAGCTGTTTAATTTGTATATTTAATTAAAATAAAAAATGCATTAAAACAAAATTAAAGGTACAGTCAATAGACCATCAATCTTTCTATAGATCACGATTCACTATAAGCCTGTTACAAGTGTTTATATTTCAGACCTGACTGGATGGATTTCACAGGAAATTGCGTGTGTGTGTCTGGTGTGGAAGCGGCAGAGGTTAGTTTCACAGGTTTACATGATGGAGCTGAGGGATTTGAAATGTTGTAAAAGCGATGCGGAGAGGACGGTGTTTTTCTAAATCCAATAGCCAACTTGTTTGTTGGCGTTTGTCTATGCAGTGTGTATTGGCCTTTAAAGTTCTTCTAAGGGTGCCGGGTGGTCCTTCTGAGAGATTTACATGTGTGTGTGTGGATGCGTGCATGTGTTAATGTGTGTGTGCTGATGGTTTGCTTCTTGTATTATTCAGCAGCGCCGGATCTGCCACAGATCCACATCTCTGGAGTGTCACACCATTATTCAACCCTTCAGCTGGTGCACAGTAACCTTGTGCGGCACACGGAGGAGCCAGCTTTATACAAGATGTATGACCTGATGCATCTGGAATCAAATGAGAGACCTTACAAAGGAGACGCATTTGCTCCAACAACGTCCAGTGATGGGAATAACGGCGTTATAAATAACGCCGTTACTAACGGCATTACTTTTTCCAGTAACGAGTAATCTAATTGATTACTCTTCTCATCTTAATAACGCCGTTACCGTTACTGCCAAAAAATGCGGCGCGTTACTATAACTGATGAAGCTGTTTTTTTTCATCAGACCAACTAGATCTCCGAGCGAGAGGCAAATACTTTTTTTATTGTTCTTCCTTGGTTAGTGGGCAGAGGGAGCACGAGACAAGCGCATACATGCTGACGATTGGCTGAGGTAGAGTAAAATGTCATTGTAAGCCAATCAGAGGTAGAGTAGGGCGGGTGATCTAAAGCACGCATAGTAGTGATGGGCATTCGGCTCTTTTGACTCAGCTCACTGAAAAGAGCCGGCTCTTTTGGCTCACAAACGGCTCTTTAAATTACTTTGACTATAATATTTCATTTTTTATTACATAATTATTTAATTTCTATAGGCTAAATTTGTAAGAGTCGGCTCTTCAGATATGCGAGCCAGCTACCGACGTTCACCTAAAAGAGTCGGCTCATTCGCGAATCGCGAACGAGTCGATCCATCATCACTAACGCTCATTCGCGAACGACCCATCATCACTAACAGCTAACGCTCATGAATTGCGAACGACCCATCATAACGCATAGTCGGACAGGACAGGACACACAACGAACAACACAAGCCAGTCAGTCAACGAGAGACAGGTATGCCGACGAGCCCAAATAATCCAAAAGTAGCCTTCTCTAAATGGTATATTGCTTATGTTAAGTTTTCATTTCCGTCCGTCATGTCCATGCACAATATGTTGCGATCATCCATCCACTAAAGAACAATCCAGATACAATTTCTCAGTGTTATTTATTTGTTAGTTTTCATCTCAATGCGCTGGCATAACATCAGTGCACGAGGGAGCAGCAGCACGACATTCATCTCAAGGAAGGAACACAAGCTGAGTCAAAATAAAAGTCCCCATTTGTTCACACATGCGCACAATGAACTCTTGCACATTTTTAGTATACAACCGTCAATAGCATAAAGTAAAAACAAAATAACAGTAAGAAACATAAAATAATATAGTTAATGAGAACATATAACTCCACAGCTTAACAAGCTTAATTTAATTTTGCCCAGTTGTGGCCTGTTGAGGGGCAATAAATATCAAAAGTTCCAAAACATCTATTGTGTTATTTGCATTGATCCACTATATAAACATAATATCTACATACTGGCATTTGATTGGAGGCTAGTCTCACTTTGTCCACCGGCAACATTTTTTTTTAGATGTGTACAATGTTTCATGTTTCTGTTAATAATGTATTGTATTAAGTGTCCATTTCATTATAAAATTCAGATTTATCATAAATAATTGAACATGCACATGTGTTAAAATCCGTTAAATAGGGGTAGAGGTGGGGTCACATTTGAGCATTTAAAATTTAATTTTACTTGAAAGTAACGCAATAGTTACTTTCTTAAGTAACTAGTTACTTTTAAAATTTGTAACTGAGTTACTAATTTAGTTACTTTTTGGAAGAAGTAACTAGTAACTGTAACTAATTACTTTTTAAAAGTAACTTGCCCAACACTGACAACGTCACACAACTCTCCGTGAACGTGAGTGCCACTGTTGCGCGTGCAAACATGTGCATGTGTGTGTGACCCGTATTTGCCGTCCAGATACAACCATAGTCGTGTCAAGGGTCCTAAATGTTCATCCTTGGGTTTGTGTGTGGATTTGGGGTTCCTCTCGCAAAGCTATTTAAAGTCTATAATTATTGTGGTAATCAAACTAAACATGCGGTTCAATTCCTTTTCATTGACAAAACAATACAGGCATTTTTCAAGGTCAGTAAGTTAAATATAGTATTAATTAACTGATAGCCTTTATTGTATGAAAACAAATGTGCAAAAATCTTACTTTTAGGGGTACAACAGCTTGTCACTGAGGGACAACTTTGTTTCTAATAAAGCCCTAAAAGCTGCATTTTAGACTTTAGAGTAATATATACTACCCTTTTAGGGGTAAATAATGTACAAAGATGTCCCAGTCCAACCAAAAATTATTGACTTGAATGATTGACTGTATTGATTTTCTTTCTTCTGTGGAACATTAACCAAACAGTTTCCGTTCAAATTGACCTCCGTTGTTTACAATGTAATTAACTGGTAATGGGATCCGAAACTGTTTGGTTACCAACATTCTTCAAAATATATCATTTTATGTTCTACAGAAGAAAAACAGTCATTTGGGTTTGGAATGACATGTGGAGCAAACATTTCTGACACTATAGAGGAACCCCGATATAATGAATTTGGCATAATACAATCACAATTCAAACACCACTGAAAGCATTAAATGAACTCAACAGAACAAATTATAGTTTTTAATGGACGGATGTGAAAAATGCATAGTGACATCATCAGTGTGGCCTGTCCTTGCCAGCGTTTGCTCGTACTGATCAATGTTTCTGAATCTGTTCGCTCCTGATGGCTTTGGTCTGTTAGAACCAGACTGAAAGTGGTCTGACTGTGCGCTGTGAGAGCTGAAGTAAAAAACGCGGCCCGTTTCTCCTTCTCCGCTCATAATCCTCAGCTGTTCCTTACATTATGATTCTCCAAACTGATATGAAAGTGTTGATATGGAAACACACCGGGGCAGGAAAACAGAGAACACGACTGAAATGAATCATTACGGAAGCATGACCATGAGTGTGAAACATCAGTTAAATGCTGGATGAAACGCCACACTGGCTGTATGAACCCACTGATTCACAAATGACATTAAAAAACTTACATGACAGAGAAAGAAACATTATTTTATTAGATCTTTTTTAGGTAACTTGTTAAAATAGGCCTACAGGTTTCTATTAAATGTAAGTGAAGTTAAAGTCAGCATGAAACAGAAGTTGTGATAATCTTTTCTTCCCTATTGTGACGTTTATCCGAGTGAAACGGCTATTTGAACAAGAAAAATACTACTTTATAGTATGGGAAAAACAGTATGTGACAAAAGAAGGATGTCTGAATTCACAGTACTCATGAAAGAGTCGTCAAAAATGTTTGATGACCTACTACTTCCGGTGAGATTCTGAAGTGTGCATATGATGGAGACTTTACTATCCCATGAGGTCACGGGAGAGGATTTGTGAATGACAGTGAAGCGACGCAACTGACGCCGTACGTCACATGATAATAACACATCATGGCGGATGTAGTGCGTCTAGATTACACTCATACTGCACACATTCATACTAGAACGTACTTTTTTTTATCGGTCGTGAAGTAATTACTTATTCAAAATATGTACCTACTCAAGAGAGTATGTGATTTCAGACGCAGCCTTAACGCATCTTTTGTTTATCTGGTTCTTATTCATCCCAACAGCACCAGTGTTTGTTTTTTTAACTCTTTACTGACACCAACTGGTCTGGATGCATTAAAATTGGTTCAAATCAAGGTGAAGTCATTTGGGTTTTTTTTGTTTGTTTGTTTGTTTAGATACTCCTTTATGTTTATTTTGTGTAAAGCACTTATATATTAACTAACTATATAAAGTCTTTCTTGTTGCTATTATTATCAAGAGTTAAGGCCCGTTCTAATCAAGGCCCCGTTCACACAGATCTGCCAAAACTATTAAAAACTGTGTTATTGCCAGGCCAATAGTTGGTGATGTCACTTTGTAAAGAAATATAATGCGCCTTGAACACTTAACACACACATGCGTATGACGTCAGCGTTTCACAAATTCTCGTTTTTGTAGTTTACACAGAGACTTGCATTTGAAATCTGATTTTAAAAGCTTGCATTTTCATGCCGCCAAAACGCTGTTGTCGTGTAAACGAGAACAGCCAAAACGCATAAAAAGTTTCCCGTTTTTAGTTGAAAACGGCCCCTAACTCAGTCAATTGCAAGACACAACTGATCATGTGATTTCAACATGGTGGCCCCCGTAAGTTGTTCAGTCGCTCCTCAGTGTCTAGAAGACTGACTGGTCTGGACTGGTTTTTGTTTCTGTAACCATTGTGAGCACACGTCCTGAAAAGTAATGTTTGGTGAGCAAGTCAGGGAAAAGAACAATTAGTCTGGAAGCCTGTCTAAAAGTAAAACTGTTCAATTCCTCATTCCTTATCCCTAAAGAGCCAGTCTGACTAAAACGTCAGATTCCACCCGTGAGATTTTCCGGAGCAGAACTGGCTCCCTTTATCAGAAGCACGTCTCATTTCAAATGAGCAGTACAGAACACAAACTGTCTGAAGAGCTCTGATAAGGATCTGTTTTAGATATCGCCTGTCGTCATCAGCGCTGAGCCGCGTTATAATGTTTCTGACCTTACTCTGTTTGTTTATGAACACTCTCAGACGCCTCTGTCTGTGTTTCTCCCACTGACCTATTGACTTAAGTGTTTTATGGCAGAGTAACGCTTAAAAATCATGAATATTTTACTGATTGTTGCGACAAGCTGCATGATATTTTTCCTCCAGTGTTAGTGATCTGATTGGCATCCACTGACAGCAGTTAAATGAATAAGTGCAGAGGCCGTTGATACGGAAAGGCTATTCCTGACACAATCGCTGCATGTTTTCAAGTGAATTTAATTGGCTAATGCTGACTAAAAACTGGCTATTTCTCAGGACGTGACCCAGAATTGTGTCAGTCAGTCTCCTTGTTGATGAAGACGTGAAACGTAAGGCTTTGAATACAGATTACCCTGAGTGCTTTTTAAAACCGATTAGTTTAACAGATGTAATATCCTCCTGAATAATAACTTTAGTTTTTTGTGATCGTGATAACTTCTTTGATGATTGAGATCACACAGATGATAAGGCAGCAGGGAATTACTTGAAAAAATATTTATTCAGAATTTGAAACAACACATAAAAAATGCTCAACTAGCTCACATATTCATGTGCATTTGGGTGTAAATCACCATCTCTATTTGTAAAAAAAAACATTACAAAATAAAAATGTGCTTGTATCTAAGGATTACTGAGGAAATAGTGAGGCTTAGAAGAAGTGCAGTGGCGAAGAAAAGTGCCTACATGTAATATCTGCAAGAGGTCATGACCTTTGAATGACTAGAAAAGCTTGATCTAATTGTAGAAATCCAGTGTTTCTACTGTTTCCCCAAACATAACATGATTCCCGGTCAGTGATATATAACTTTCTCATGGATGAAACTGGCATAATAAAATCGTACATTATGTACCACTGATTTGCTTGTTTCTCAACTTACATTTCTGACACGTTTATTCTCGCCATGCAATCAAAGGATATGCACATTATAGATGCGTTTACACTGACAAAGTCTCATAAAAGAGACAAGTGTATTAAAACTGCAAAAAAACAGCGGACAGTGGGAAGAGAAAAATCTTGTTTTTCTCAATTTCTTTGTTATTCAGGCTCCTCAAATCACCTGCTCTGAGTCACATCCTGAAAGAATATCCACAAAAGAACCTGTTATTTAGTTTAGCCCCATTTCACATTCATTTTACATTCCATTGATCCAGCCTTTGCGACCTCTGACCTCTGTGCACTTGTTTTGCGGTGACAAAGAATAACGAACAATGTGTCTTTTTGTTTACAGCTCGCAAGCCGTGTGTTGTCATGGTTTGTCCTTTAGCCATTGCTGTGTGTGTGTGTGTGTGTGTGTGTGTGTGTGTGTGTGTGTGTGTGTGTGTGTGTGTGTGTGTGTGTGTGTGTGTGTGTGTGTGTGTGTGTGTGTGTGTGTGTCAGTCTGTACTGGATGTCCAAATGTCTTCAGTTCAGGTCATCTGTCCATCTGCTCTTCCTCCTCCTGGACTTCTAGAATAATTGGAGAAACAGAAAGCCATTGAGTCTAAAGTATTAAAAGATGTTATCACTTGTTTATTGGCTAGATGTATATCTCATGAAAAGTGCAGTTGTATTTGGTGGAGAGCAGGAGCACATGTTCTGCAATGTAATGAGTGTCAAGAAGTTTGAAAACTTGAATTCTGAGGCTTCCAGACAATAATTTCAAATCACAGTAAATTGCTATGTTTTTTCATGTGTCCTGTTATACCAACACACCCCACAAAGCCTACTGAAAGGGTTTGTTCACCCAAAAAATGAAAATGATGTCATTAATGACTCACCCTCATGTCGTTCCAAGCCCGTAAGACCTCCGTTCATCTTCAGGACACAGTTTAAGATATTTTAGATTTAGTCCGAGAGCTTTCTGTCCCTCCATTGAAAATGTATGTACGGTATACTGTCCTTGTCCAGAAAGGAAATAAAGACATCATCAAAGTAGTCCATGTGACATCAGTGGGTTAGTTACAATGTGTTGAAGCATCGAAAATACATTTTGGTCCAAAAATAACAAAAACTAAGACTTTATTCAGCATTGTATTGTATTCTGGTTCTGTTGTGGATCCGCGTTCAGTGACGCCGCTGACGTAAGACGCTGCTGACGTGTGTCTGGTGTGTGTGTGTGTGTGTGTGTGTGTATTCTGGTTCTGTTGTGGATCCGCGTTCAGTGCCGCTGCTGATGTAAGACGCTGCTGACGTGTGTCTGGTGTGTGTGTGTGTGTATTCTGGTTCTGTTGTGGATCCGCGTTCAGTGCCGCTGCTGATGTAAGACGCTGCTGACGTGTGTCTGGTGTGTGTGTGTGTGTATTCTGGTTCTGTTGTGGATCCGCGTTCAGTGCCGCTGCTGATGTAAGACGCTGCTGACGTGTGTCTGGTGTGTGTGTGTGTGTATTCTGGTTCTGTTGTGGATCCGCGTTCAGTGCCGCTGCTGATGTAAGACGCTGCTGACGTGTGTCTGGTGTGTGTGTGTGTGTATTCTGGTTCTGTTGTGGATCTGCGTTCAGTGCCGCTGCTGACGTAAGACGCTGCTGACGTGTGTCTGGTGTGTGTGTGTGTGTGTGTATTCTGGTTCTGTTGTGGATCCGCGTTCAGTGCCGCCGCTGACGTAAGACGCTGCTGACGTGTGTCTGGTGTGTGTGTGTGTGTGTATTCTGGTTCTGTTGTGGATCTGCGTTCAGTGCCGCCGCTGACGTAAGACGCTGCTGACGTGTGTCTGGTGTGTGTGTGTGTGTGTGTGTGTGTGTGTGTGTGTATTCTGGTTCTGTTGTGGATCCGCGTTCAGTGCCGCTGCTGACGTAAGACGCTGCTGACGTGTGTCTGGTGCGTTCGTGTATTCGGGTTTAAATAAATATGGCTGGGCAAAACAATGCAAGTCTTCCTCTGTGTGGAAATCCTTAGACATGTTTGCGAAGATTGTTTTGTTTCCAGCGAGCGTCTCCCTCAGACTGTAAACGAAGCTCGGGCGCACCAGACACACGTCAGCAGCGTCTTACGTCAGCGGCGGCACTGAACGCGGATCCACAAAAGAACCAGAATACACACACACACACACCAGACACACGTCAGCAGCGTCTTACGTCAGCGGCGGCACTGAACGCGGATCCACAACAGAACCAGAAGACAATACAATGCTGAATAAAGTCGGAGTTTTTGTTATTTTTGGACCAAAATGTATTTTCGATGCTTCAACACATTGTAACTAACCCACTGATGTCACATGGACTACTTTGATGATGTCTTTATTTCCTTTCTGGACAAGGACAGTATACCGTACATACATTTACAATGGAGGGACGGAAAGCTCTCGGACTAAATCTAAAATATCTTAAACTGTGTCCTGAAGATGAACGGAGGTCTTACGGGCTTGGAACGACATGAGGGTGAGTCATTAATGACATAATTTTCATTTTTGGGTGAACTAACCCTTTAACACCATCAATGTTTGAGTGCCCTCTGCAGACTCCAAAGAGTATCACACACTCACCCTGACAGACTGATCTCATGAAATGGCGTATGTATGACACGCCAATTCGTATTTCCATTTTTGGCGTGCTATCAACACGCATAATCGCTTTTCAGCGTGTTTATCAACGCCTTTGACTTAACGTTATATTACTGTATTATGCATATATAAATATATGACCTACCCCAACCCCGTCCCTAAACCTACCCGTCACTGGGGTTAATACCATTTATGAGTCTTCTCCTACCATCCTAGGAAAAGAAATATCGCTCCACAGATGTAGATATAGATTTTGCTTCGTTTCGCTTGGACATTTAACGGCGTAGACATACACGCGGAATCACTCGGACATTTAATGGCGTAGACATACACGCAAAAGATTTCGGCGTGGACATACACGCGGATATTTCAAAATGCGTATAGATAACACGCCACTTGAATTGAAAGTGGCGTGTATGTTTACGCAAAGTCATGATGTCATGTTGCCCCTGAGATCTCTGTTCACAACTATCAGCAGCAGCACATTCAAATAATTGCATTTATATACTATGCTGTTTTAGTACCAAGTAACAGTCTGCCCAATCAATGATATAAATACACATCACCGATATGTTTCTATATATAACACATTCATTTTTATATCCATTTAGGGATGCACTATATATCTTTGTTTTTAAATGTAATCTCTGTTTATGTAGGATATTAAAAAAAATTAAGATTGCACTAATTTAAATGGATAATAATAGATGGACAGTTCTTATTTTTCTGAAATATTGGAGTATTTATTATAAATTATTTATCTGTGCACATCATTATTATTATTTTTATTAATGTGCCTCGTAATCTTTAATCAAAATAACTTCCCCCTTCCTCTTGCAGCATCTCTTCTCTTCTCTGATGACGAGAGATTCACCAAAAGCAAACCACAAACATCCAATCAATGAATTCCTCATGGACAAAATCAAGTCAAGAAGTTCAAGAAGTCATTTCACTCAGTCACAACAGGGAAGAAAAGACTTCGGTTTCATGCTGACTTTAAGAGCTGTATTAGAGTGATGATAGCAAAACCTTTTGTGTTCATGCATAACAATGAGAAAAAGAACCACCATCTTTATTAATGCTACTTTGAAATGCGCAGCTAACACTGTTTCAGGCCACACACATAACCTCTTTGTTTTTTTATATAATATCCAAATACTCATTAAAATCATTTGATTCCATAGGTTATAACTCTGAGCTATGGACTACTGTGGGCTCGCTAAACTTCCTCGATCTAGTACGGCTCAAGTGTTTCCGGCGACACACTTTCAGATGAATCGATATATACATACACGCAAAGCTTGGTACAAGAGTCTGTTTTTTTTCTCTCTCTCGCTGTTCTTTTCTTCCAAACACTACAAATAGCAATATGTATCTCGAATAGGAATATGTATTTATCTCACAGCCTATATTATAATGTTTTGGTACATTGTTTTAGCATACAAACCATTTTAGCTTGTAATGTTTTAACTAGCCTATCGTTTTTTAGTGTAGCAATATAACATCAGCCATTCATCCTGGCCAGAATTTCAATATCAGTGCATCCCTAATGAATGTATCCATAAATGAATTCCCTGAATTTCCCACATGGATATGAACACATGGTGACATTAATGTTAGACGCAGCTACTCACCTGTTCAGTGTGTGTAACAGGGTCCTGGTGCTATAGTAGTCTGAGCAGCTGATGAACCAGCACAACTGAAGTAAGAAGGAAACATACAGGCGTTGACCGAGATGCCTAAAATAAACAAAATAAAAAGGCATTGTTTCAGTATACTGCTGCCAAACAGGTTTGGGATTTAGTAGATGCTCATGGTTGATTCTATTTCTATGTATAGTATTAATGTACAATATTTAGAGATCTGTGCCCGGTTGCATAATGCACCTTAAAGGGATACTACACCCAAAAATGAAATTTCTGTCATCATTTACTCACCCTCAAGTTGTTGCAAACCTGTATGAGATTCTTTCAGTTGTTTGGCACCATTGACTTCCACAGTAGAAAAAAAAAAATACTATGGAAGTCAATGGTGCCCCACAACTGTTTGGTTCCAATCGTTCTTCAGAATATCTTCCTTTGTGTTCAACAGAAGAAATAAACTCATGCAGGTTTGCAACAACTTTTTATTTTTGGGTGGAGTATCCCTTTAAGTTTGCCCTTAAGTATGAGAATGAAAGCGTGATTTCCCTTTACCTACGGGAATGATTTAAAGGTGCAGTAAGCGATTTCTGTTGATATTTGAAATCAACCCTCCCTTCGTTGCATTCAACACGCAATGGGAGAGTGGATGTCTTTTTATCATCGCTGAAGCGAAGCAAAATAATGCTTCAATGACTCTCCAAACTGTCCAGTTTCTATAGCTAACATTCATTAGTTCAAAATGTATGGTGTGCTCTTGTGTTTTACAGTTCTCTCCACAATGTGGAGCAGTGTGACAGTGTTTTATTGTCTGAGATTTTTCCATTGTGTGTTTAAAGCAGATGTTGCTAATGTAATGCATTTGCTTTCTCGCAGGAATTCAAATGGCTCTGTATAATTAGTAGCTTGCTTGTTTAATTAAACGTGCATGCCTAAATAAGTTGATTGGTGCGCTGTTGAGAGCACGTCCCCCTCCGCATTTCCTCTGTTTACAGATGCCTTCCTTTAATGCAGAGCAGAGCCATTGTTTAACTTTGCAACACATGAGGATAAGAAGCAGATGGAGCTTTCAAATAGATCCATGTTCTGAAAATAACGGGGACACCTGTTTACATTCATGTTCACTCCCCGTTTGCTTCGTCAGCAGGTCCACAGTGCCTCGTCAGACAATCTAATAAAACATGTCACTTCACCTCGAGGGGTTTATTGCACTCATTAAACATGAATATTATCTCATCCACTGATATTTTCACAGCACACAGAGATTAAATATAGAGATGGGTTTTAATTTTCTGCAATAGATCTAATCGCCACGCACATAGCATAAGTGTGTTTTATGGAAACAATGTGATGTTGAAATCATCCAGATATTTTAAAAGTCCTGCAGCTCTGGATTTCACAGTGTTTCTTTTTTCTTTTCCTGGGGTGTAAGAACAGGTCATGACAGATTTCCTCATTTTCCACAGAAGATAACACTTCTGTGTTATTGAGCAGATTTGTTTCTCATTGTGAACACGGGGTTTAAGATGCTGAACGTCTGACCTCTGTGTGGAGGAGTTCGGTCCGCCCGCAAAAATGGTAAAGTAAGCAATTCCACTTTCACAATCCCATCTCAAAGACACAAGGCTTTTGTGTGTCAGAAGACATGAACCACATTACTCAGGACTTCATAATGTATTGGAACATGTGAGTGTTCTGTGTATTCAGCATATTACAATGCATTAGGAAGTATAACAGAAAAGGTTGAAGAAATACCTGATTCCCGAAAGTGAATGTGGGCGCAGTGGGCTTTTTTTCATGCACACTTCCATCTGTTTCTGTAAAGCTTGTTTCTTCTCCAGCGTCTGTCCCTGCTCCCATTAAAAACTTCTCTAGATCATCAGTGCTGGCATTGCCTAATGAGACACATACAGTGGATCTTGAACAATGAGCAATGATTATGCTTCATGCAAGTACATAAACGCAGACAGTACCGTTCAAAGGTTTGGGTTGGTAAGATTTTTTGGTTACACGGTATTTTGATGCTCCCTGTGGCGAGCAGGACCGGTGGCGTGACTGATAATCTGCGCGACGCACCGGTCTCGTATCTCTCATGGAGGAGCGGAAGCATAAAGGAGGAGCGACGACAGTGAAGATCGAGAGAGGAACAGGCCTGGACTTATGTTGTGTTTTATGGTTTATTATATGTGACAGCAGTCATCCGTGACCGTGAGGGGCTGCTGTCTTTTACTTTAGTTTTTTATTGTTTATTTTATTCATAAATTGTGTGTTGAACGTTCGCCGGTTCCCGTCTCCTTCTTTCCGGGTTTCGGCCATAGACAGTAAAGGTTCCGGCACCAATGTAGCAATGTTCGATGTTATGGGAAGAAGGGGGCGGGAACCGGCAAACATTCAAAGATCAAAAAATGAAACAAATACAAACCGATAGTAAAAGACAGCAGCCCCTCACGGACGACTGCTGTCACATATAACAAAACAACATAAATCCAGGCGATCTCTCGATCTTCAGCGTCGTCGCTCCTCCTTTATGCTTCGGTGCGTCACAGGTGTCGCTCATTATCAATCACGCCACCGGCCTCGTCCTGCTCGCCAGACTCCCCAACAGACATTCTGCTGACGATAAGTAACTTTACAGTTAGTAACCCGAACCCTATCAGTCTACTAATACTCTAATGAGAGTTAGTTGACATGTAGGTGCAACGTTACTTAGTCAAAAGTATGTCCAAAGGGGACTATCCAAATAAAATGTGACCGATTTTTAATGCTCACCAATGCTTCATTTATTTGATCAATAATACAGTAAAAACAGTAATATTGTGAAACATTATTATAAATATTATTATAATATATTTAAAATAACTGTTTTCTATTTGAATATATTTTAAAATGTAATATTTCAGTGATACAAAGCTGAATGTTCAGTATTCAGTTCACATGATCCTTCAGAAATGCCGATTCGGTGATCAAGAATTTCTTATTATCAATGTTGAAAACAGTTGTGATGCCGAATATTTTTGTAATATGTTTTTCAGGATCCTTTGATGAATAAAGAGTAAGAATCTTACTGACCCCAAACTTTTGAACGGTACATTGGGCTTTGGTTTTCATGTTGCTGCAATATAAAACTGATGATGATTATGATGATGATCAATGTACAGTATACTGACATGGCCTTTAATTCATTCTTATACTGTAGTTACAGTTACATTTAGTCATTTAGCAGACGCTTTTATCCAAAGCGACTTACAACTGAGGACTAAACCAAGCGTGTCATCGTGAAGAGGCAAAAAACAACGCAAGAAGTGCTCAAAATTCAAAGTTCAGACATCGGAGTAGCATAAGCCAGGCAAGCGAGGATTTAAAGGAAAGGATTATTTTTTATTTATTTTTTATGTTAAGTGCTCCCGGAAGTTACAGTAAGCAGTGTGTCGTATATTGTGACTTTTATATGGTTTTACAGTGATGAGACAATCCTATTAGAATTCCCACATAAAAATGAATGCATAATTACTGTATGACTATATTTCTTCTAAGATTAATCTCAGTGTCATGAGGTGGACCTCCTGCTGTATGACAGTGTCGGGTCGGGTCACCCCTCGCCCTCCATCTGATTCCAGAGATAAACAAGCGAGCTGTTAGTAAAACTCTGCACCTCCTGCCCCACTGTATTCACTGCCTTTAGCTCGACTAGTCTAATCATGTCTGAGGAAGTCAAGGATTAAATCTTAACAAACCCAACATACACGTGAAAATGAAATGATAAACATATGCACTCTAAGAAATAAAGGTTCTATATAGAACTTTGTGGTTCTTGACTCAATTTTAAAGAACCCTTTGTGCCAAAAAAGTTCTATAGAAGGAGAAATGTATGATTGTCTTTCATGTTTAATATTTAAAAAGTTTTTGTGTTATAGTATGTTTATGAGCTGTTTGATTTATAAAAGGAATTAAAATGAAAAACAAATGAAAACAAAATGAGTTAATTAATACTTAATTCATAAAATGATCCGGGTAAAATTACGGGAAGACTTAAAAGGTGCACCAGTGGCCAAAAGTGATGTCTGGGTGGAGATGTTTGTTTTTAATGACCCTACAAGTTCGATTAAACCATTAAAATATGAGGAAAATATTTTCTTATTTTTTATTTATTTAAATATGGGAAGATCAAAACACTAAACTTCGTTAAGGTATTTATCTGACAATTGTTTTGGGCAAACTACAGCTACTTTACTATGCAAAAAAAAAAAAAAAAAAGAAAGAAAGAAAGAAAAATGCATAAATGCTCACAGGAAAAAGCATACATTGACTACAACATAATCAGTAATATTTCAGCTCTCTGTTGTTTTTGCATGTGTTTATAATTTCTTTTTATGACAGCCTGGCCAAAAATTATGTCACGCAATTTGTCATATCACAAATAAAACTATTGACTCCAAGCACAACTAGCAATATGCTTACAAAATCTTTAACAACCTTTTAATATTTGGATAAAAGGTGAAGTGTTCCTGGACCGGACGTCACTTTTAGCCACTACTGTGTATGAAGAACCTGAAAGAACCCTTGTGAGACTATTGAAAACCTACTGAAGAACAGGAACCCGAACGTTGAATTGTAGTCGTACTCCGGGGTATGAGTGGAATCATAGTCAAAATTATATTCGTCCTCCTCAACACCTGCGAAGACAAAAGAGATTTGATTTAGCTGTTATTTGTGAAAAACTTACAATTGTGGGAAACAATGTGGAAGTCAGCATCTGGGCCGATCACTCAACATGCCTGTTGATGAACTTACACTCACACAGTCAGGCAGGGATTGTCATGGCATGTCAGCCATTAATTATGACTCATTTCACAAACACAATTAATGCTTTGAACATTATCTGACCATCTTTACTGGCCAACACAACCCAGTCACCTCACCGAACCATAGAGGACATTGTTTGCCATTGAAAAGAAGCAGTGTCAGTAATTTGAGATCTTTGTATTGCTTCTTGCATACTATTGCCATTTGTCAGTTATGTGAGACCATTCAGCATGACATTCTTTCTTCCCAAGCATCCTGTCTTTTCTGTGATACTGTGAGATTACTGGGGACTGAGATGATAATGAATGAAGAGCCAGCGCGGTAACATCTGTGAAGTCAGTTCTGTCAGGCTTAAGAGATTGTGAAAAGACATTTGTTTAACAGATATTTGTCTCTGCAGCGTTTACATTTGAGTTATTTAGATCCGATAACCGTTCAAAAGTTAGGGATCGGTACAATTTTTGAAAGAAGTCTCTTTTGCTCTTGGGCTGCAAAAATCGAAGAAAAAAAAACAGTAATCATTGTATTATTTTAAAATATATCTGTTTTGAAACAGTTATTTGTATATTTTGTAAATTGTAATTTATTCCTGTGATCAAAACTGAATTTTCAGCATCATTACTCCAGTCTTCAGTGTCTCATGATCCATCAGAAATCATTCTAATATGATGATGTGCTGCTCAAGAAACATTTCTGATTATTATCAATGTTGAAAACAGTTGTGCTGCTTAATATTTTTGTGGAAACTGTGACACTTTTTTTTCAGGATTCTTTGATGAATAGAAAGTTCGAAAGAACAGCATTTATTTGAAACAGAAATCTTTTGTAACATTATAAATGTCTATACTGTAACTTTTGATCAATTTAACGTGACCTTACTGAATACACATATTCGTTTCTTTCAACAACAAAAAAATCTTACTGACCCCAAATTTTGATCAGTATTGTGGCTATTATAGCAGATTTTTTTTTTTTTGAATAGTAAATTAATAAGATCCTGATTGTATTTTATTATAATGTAAGAATGCTTGAAAAAGACAACTGTTCTTCTTTCCTAATTCAGTCCCAAGAGACAAGGCATCATGGGATGTGTAATCAGACAAGAGTATCGGATTGTCTTAGCATAAAACCCTGAGCTTCAGGATCTGGCACTGGATCTAGATCTGGATCTGGCACTTGATCTGGATCTGGCACTTGATCTGGATATGGATCTGGCACTGGATCTAGATCTGGATCTGGCACTTGATCTGGATCTGGCACTTGATCTGGATATGGATCTGGGACTTGATCTGGATCTGGCACTTGATCTGGATATGGATCTGGCACTTGATCTGGATCTGGCACTTGATCTGGATCTGGCACTTGATCTGGATCTGGCACTGGATCTGGATCTGGATCTGGCACTGGATCTGGCACTTGATCTGGATCTGGATCTGGCATTGGATCTTGATCTGGATCTGGCACTGGATCTGGATCTGGCACTGGATCCGGATCTGGATCTGGCACTGGCACTGGATCTGGATCTGGCACTTGATCTGGATCTTGATCTGGCACTGGATCTTGATCTGGATCTGGCACTTGATCTGGATCTGGATCTGGACCTGGATCTGGCACTGGGCACTTCAGGATCCAGGTTCTGAATTTATAGCTGGCACTAAAACATCAGTCTCTTGATGATTCTTCAGAATCATATTAATCTTCTAAACCTTTGGGTCACCATGTATTTATGGCACTGATGCACAGAAGTCCCTTCAGTACTGATTCTTCTCAGAGTTCAGTTTTGATGGGATCGGACCCCAGAATCTACTCCCTTAAGCTGAAAAAATAATCTGTCAGGCTTTTCCTCGTACACCTTACTCAATTATACAGCTGTTTAGTGAGACCAAGGTGATCAGTGTCAGTGTTTTTTCTTCAGGGAATGTGAATGATATCCAGACTACACCTGGGAGTTGAGCCCAAGAATCCCACCTCATATGCCTTAGGCTTATCTGGATTTGTCTGACTCCATTTACTTTGAACTTTTTAGGGAGAAAGGCAAATATCAGATGTCAGAGCAGAAAAGGATTGTTAAAAGCTCTGTTCCATTGTAATTTACACCCAGACACATTGTAAAAATTGGCATCCTGCAATTGTTTTCTTAAGGAGCTGATCTTATGTGTGGTTCAGTATTCATGACTTAAAATCCATTTTTACATGGCTATTTACTCGATTCTTATTGGTTAATCGCAACATCCAGTGGTCCGATATTTCCCAATATTCTCCAACGTAAAGGCAACACTGTATATTAGTTTGCTGAAGTTGCTACTTTCATGTTTCTCGTATTACACCAATGATTCACTCGTTTCAAGTAATCAGAAGCCCATTTCCTCCACACATCACACAAAAATCATGCTTTGATTCAAAATTATGACAAAATGTTGTAATTATGAGATAAAAAGATAATCATGACATACAGATTTGGACTTTTTATCTCATAATTTTGACTCTCATGTGGCGGAAATGGGCTTCCAGAGTAATCAATTGCTGTGAACATCCCCTTAAGTATTAATATTACTGTAATATTGTTTGTCTTGTCACTAGATGTGTACATTTTAATGGACAATTAGTAACTGGCATTGAGAGTTGTTGAATTGCGGGTGTCATTTATTGTCCGTCTCTTTATACCTTATTTTATTCCATTGTCGTTTGAAAAATAATTATTATATAAAAATTTTGGGAACACTTTAGTTTAGGGTCCAATTCTCACTATTAAAGCTGCTGTAGGTAACTTTTGAAAAAATGTATTTGCTAAAACTGTCATTATGTCCTGACAGTAGAATATGAGACAGATAATCTGTGTAAAAATCAAGCTCTTCTGGCTCCTCCCAGTGGTCCTATTGCCATTTGCAGAAATACACGCTCTCGATCAGAAACAACCAATCAGAGCCAGGAGGAGTGTCTTAGCAGTGTCAATCACGCTCGTGAACGCGCTGATCACACCCCTCTCTTGCACAGCGCGTTGCGCGAGCCGTCGTTCAAACTCAAGATTGCCGGCGTGCTGCAGCTGTGCTTATGACGGAGAAACAACCTAAACTGCCAATTCTCGAGTGACACCTGCTCATAAAACAAAGAGGTAAAAGGAAAAAGACTGATGACGATAAACAAGCGAAAAAGAAAGAATTACACAGAGCCCATCGACTCGGTGTCAAAACTCTAGCCGCATAACATGTAGATAAAATGTCACGCACTCTGCTAAGCAACAATTGAAACCTGCTAATTCACTGGCTTGTCATGTTGCTGAAATAATGTACTAGCACACCTTATCTAGCATTATATATCGCTAGAATAATTACTTACATACTGTAACGTTAGTTACCGTTATATTAACGTTATCTTACTAGCTATTTATAACTTATAGATAGAGTGCAACGTTATAAAGTTACATGTAGGCTATTGCAAAATACATAATGATTTGAGGACCAAGTTTGTAGTCAAAGTATGGGCAGGCCATGGTCAATGTAAAGCATATTATTGACGTTTAGTCCCTATTAGTGAATGTGAACTTTTTATCCGCCGTTATGGGTGGCCCTGTTTACTAGCCTGCGCGTTCACGACAGGCTCCACTGTGGAGGACAAGCTGTGGAGGGAGGGCTGTAGCGCAGCAGAGAGCAAGGGGGTGGGACCTGTAAGTTGTGCTTGTTCAAATTTTCAGGCTAAGTCAACGTTTTCTCAAAACTCCCTACTGCAGCTTTAACTAGTTGCTTATTAGCACTTACAATACCTAAACTTAACAACTACCTTTAATTCTATTAAGAACCAGTAATTAGGAGTTTATAGAGACTAAAGTCATAGTTTATAGTGAGAATTGGACGCTAATCTAAAGTGTGACCAAATTTTTTGCTTTATGTGTGAAGTGTAAAACCCTGTTCTTTCTTTTGGAAACTTTTAATTGGATTTTTTTTTTTTCACACATAAAGAATTATGCATAATAAGTGTATGACTAATATTTATTTTAAATGAATGATCTAAGTTCACAATCATGGAAATTAGATACGAAGCACATTTTAGATTCACATTATTTCTATATTGTAGATGAGAGTGTTTGATTGACAGCATCATGGAACCCAAAACCCAAATGTTTTGCCATACATGACCAAGAAATGACACTTGGCTTTTGCATCATGGCTGTGTGCCAGTACCATTAGTTCTCTAAACCGTTTCCCAGACTGGCCTTGCTTTATCATTACAATCCCCGCTGAAGGAACAAGCAGTGAGAAGAATGCTCTGAGCAATTTTTCTTTATCGTCCATATCCTCGATGTTCTTTTCAGACCAATCATAATCAAACTTACATGCAGTCATACTTCTTTGGAGACTGTTGTCTACGTGCTAATGATCATCAGCACGCATAATCTTTTCACTTTCTCTTGAGATTCGTGGGAAACAGGGCCAAGTTAATACCTGGATCAACACCAATAAACAAGTGGTACCATAAACATGAGGCTCAGCGCGCGGGATCTGTGGTCAGCATGCCATGTGTGGTTTATTTTAAAGTCATCATCCCTAGGGTACAGCAGTCACTGTCTATTAAGTGCCATCTGAATACTGCGAATTGAGCCCCATGCAGTCCACAACTCGCGCTATGGGTTCTTATCCAAACATTATCGTGCCCCCTTAATCAGATTAGCTTTGACAAACAAAGAAACAAAAATAACAGTTTTGTGTTTTGTCTGCAAGTTAACCTGGTGGATTTTAGGGTGAAGGTATTCACATGCCCTGCTGAATGAGTTTCCCTTTCAAGTTCTCCTTGGGCGAGGAAAGTTAATGAAGCTGAGCTGTGAACCTACGGCTCAAACACACACGTTTTACCCCACCGTGCACCACGTCAAATGGGTTTTTTATTCCCCTTGTCACATTGCCACTGAGATATGAACACAATTCCAGAGTTTAAAGGGTTCAACATACTTTCTGGCTGTTGTCCAACTACTTCATGCTCTCAGTGTAGACTATAAAACCCAACCTGGTCACACCAAACACACAGCGAACAAGCTGGAACACGAAAGCCCCCAAAAAAGTAATGAAAGCTAAGAACAACACCATTTAAACTAAGAATAGTGTGTTTTAAGCTGTGATTGACAATTCGTAGCAGTCACTGACAAACATAGTTTCTCGTGAGGCATTGGGAAATTTAGTCAGGCGGAACTTGACCCTTCAACTCCCACCAACCACCATCAGTCATTCAAAGCCCCCGAAACTTGTGATTTCAAGATGTTATCCTAAAGAAATGTCAAAACAAGCATGAACTCAAAGTTATGAAAATATCCTTAAGGTAAGACTTCACTCCCATAATGATTTTTGGCCAATGTTTCTCCTTATCGCTCTACCCGAACCCCAGGAGGTGGTGGGTTCAGTCCAACAGTAAATGTTACTCATCTCATGATATCTGCCTTATTAATTCCTCTATTCTGTTTGGCCTGTAATTGATTCATAAAATCTCCAGGCTCTTGGCACATACAGTTGGGCACATTCCCCAGCGCAGGCTCCCAAGCGCTCCGGCACATTTCAGCGTAAATTCTCTGTGTGCACTAAAAGTGAACCACAAATCACAATGTTTGAATAGTAGTAAATCTTCACTGTGAAGGTTTTACTCTGGCTTAGGATATCATTCAGTCTTCTGCTCCTAATTATCACTTATTGTAGTTCTGCACCACAATGATGTCATGGATGTTCTGTCACTTCCTCAAGACAAAAGAGCGAATTCCTGCTTGTTTCTGCTGGTAGTCGATGAACAGAACAAGAGAAGGAAGTGGGAGCTGTGAGTGTGTGTGTGGACAGAAAACAGCTGTGCAGGGAACGGTGGGATTACTTTGCCCTCGTGATTGTTATGACCCCCTGGGGCCGTCTGTCATGCCGAAAGAGTTTGCGCTGGATTGCACTGTCATATACAACTGCATAAGGATGATGCACTTTTGTGTCCTTTTCCCTGGGAATTTCCAAACCAGGTTATCTCGAGTGTGACTTTAAGAGCTAAGTTTACAAATGATCAGATTTAACAAGTGCCATGCTGACTAATGCTCTCGCTTCTTTTGTTCCTGGAAATTTCGCGCAATACTTTGCCCAGACAAAATGCAAAACATGTTTTAGACGATACATCCTCTTTTGTTTTCTTCAGTATCTATTATTATTTAAAAAAAAAAAAAAGTATTTAAGGTTGTGTCGTTTTAACCATAAATAACTATTTCTACCTGATTTAACCCTTAATTTTTATTTATTTTTGGAATAACCTAATGTATTTAGGGTGATTTTTATAATATTGTTGGATTAATAAGTCAATTAATTCATTTATTAATTTAGATGTTACCACATCGCCACATTTTCAGTGTACCTGCTGCAGATCAATGATAACTTTCTGAAAATATAGAAGTCTTCGTGTGCACTTAAAGACACAAATCAAAACCAGATTCCCACAACACACACTTTTCCTGTCAGCGGATCTCTCATAAACATATTTTGTGTCAATACAGTGATCATTTTTTTTTATAATTCAGGGTTTTTTAAACTGTGGGTCACAAACCATTTGTGGGACGCAAAGTGGGAACAGAAGGGTCGTGCAAAGTCACTTGGCTACAGATAAGTCAACGTTTCAGTGAATGACACACACACATACACAGTTTAGTCTAGGGCTGCATGACATACCAGCATTAAATAGAAATCTTACAGCTTCTGGACCCCCTATCTCAAATATTTTGGTGGGTTTTGAGATAGATTTTACTTGTGGGTTCTGGAATGGAAAAGTTTGGGAACCCCATCAACCTAAATGCATTAAGTTGGACCAACACTAAACACAAAACTAACAAAATTATACCTTTCTTTCTTCTGTGGAACATAAAGGATATATTCTGAAAATGGGTTGTTTTGTCAACACAGTGAAAATCAATGTTGTTTTGGACCCCATAGACCTTCATTGCATGGACAAAACAGTTTAAACATTCTTTAAAATGTATGTGTGTGTGTGTGTGTGTGTGTGTGTGTGTGTGTGTGTGTGTGTGTGTGTGTGTGTGTGTGTGTGTGTGTGTGTGTGTGTGTGTGTGTGTGTGTGTGTGTGTTCCGCAGATGAAGGAAAAAGTGTCTTTGAGGTTTGGAACAACATGAAGGTAAGTTATGATTTGCATATCCCTATAAGGAAACTATTGCAAGTTACCACTTTTTTACAGGTTTCTCAGCCTCAAATAAAACACATGCAAATATCTTTTCAAATGCTCCATTTTTAGAACTTTTTATCTCGCACTAGATCTGTCTCATTCCAAACATTCACACATAGCAAGTTCCCTCATTGAAGTCAATCTCGGTCTCGCTCTCACACACACACACACACACACACTCACTCACCCCAGCAGAGCGGCAGCAATAGGAGAGTCCCTGCCAAACACACTGATATCATCACACAGCGCTGAGGTAGTCTTGCCATGTCGCTCTAAAGTGTTGGTGTGTGTGTGTGTGTGCAGCCTCCACGCTGTGCCTCTGAATGACTGCAGCGTGTGAGTGAGTGTGAGGAGAGGAAAGCGCCTGGAGAAGGGGTGGGAGGAAGGAGTAAGAGGGGGTGGGAACTCCAAAATTGTAGATGCCTCATTCATCTGTTAACTAGCACCTCCTTTAAACAATACCAGTGTCTGTCTCAACCCTGAAAGTGGATTAGGGCTATAGCTGATATGACTCGCATTCATTTCAATGGGTTATTTATTTTTAGTAATCTGGAATTTGAAGATAGACGAGAGATGAAAAGACTGACCCGGGGTTGGGATGTGGGTCACAGAGCGCACAGAAAGCAGATGTAAATGTCATCCACGCTGGCAGCTGTGTGACTGGTGTTGTATCTGCTGTTTGTCAACTGATCTTGATTAGTGATAACTTGGGTTCCTGCTGTGCAGTTAATGGTTCGGAAAAGATGTTTCAAGATCAGTTAACAAAGGCATTTAATGTCGCCCAACAAGAAACTTCAGAAAGTGCTTACAAAACACTGCATAATTATATTTTTTTGGACATGATTTCATGATAATACTGTGATTTTTTGTTTTGTACAGTAGTTTTCCAAGTATCTTAAACAGCAGAGGTTTTCCAAGTTTTTAATGCCAAGGACGCCTACACATCCCCCATCCTAAATATTGCTCCAAACCAGCATTAGTGAGCCAGTTAAAGAAAAAAACAAATCTGTAGAAAGGAAAAAGAGATTTAAATAATCTTCAATATATTATTTGTAAAATATTTCAACATTTATTTTATATATAATAGTTTAATGTTTTAAATATTTAATCATTAATCACATTGTTTATTTATTTATTTTAACATTTAAAGGCATATTATTATTTTTCAATTATAATAATTCATTCTTATTATAATATTTGTAAAATATTTCAACATTTATTTTATATATAATAGTTTAATGTTTTAAATTATTTAATCTTTAATCATATTTTAATTTTTTTAAAATATTTTTTTATTATAATAATTCTTATAATATTTGTCAAATATTTAAACATTTATTTTTTTATATTTTATATATACTAGTTTAATGTTTTTTTACATTTAATTTTTTTTAATTATTATTATTTAGTTGCATTATGTGCATTTGCTTTTTATTTCTTACTGTTAAAATACATTTGATATATTTCTTTCAAATTTTCCCCCTAGCACCCCCTTGAAAAACAACTTAAAGTTGCCCTAAAGTACAGTTAAAATACTATGGTATACATGCAATGAATATCCTTCAGCAACAACGAGTTATAAAAACTCTCACTTGAAATAATAAAAACTCAAGGACGCCGAGAAGTTTAAACACACAGACAGTTGTTTTAGTTTAACTTAAAGACGTTCAAGTGTCAGATCATTAAAGAAATGTGAATATCTTTGCATGCAGGTCCCACAGCATTCGAAGTGCCAGATGTTTTTGAGTTCTTCAGTGAGGGTTTCGCCCTGCCCATCCTTTCTACTCAGCAGGGGCTTGAGGAGAGGCTCAAGGTACACAGAGATGGACTCCAGTGGCAGGAAAGAGCACAGCGCAGGGGGTGTTTCAGTGAAGGACGTAAATGAATGAATATTCTGGGCCTTTCAGCCTTTCTTTCCTGTCTTGCAAGCACTGATGTGGCCCGTTCCCCAGCCCTTGCTCTTGGCTCTCTTCAAACCTTCTTCACAACCCCCAGCTGTGTGAATTGGACCGTGGGACTGTGTGTGTGAGCTGTGCATCCGTGAGACAAGACAAGCACCTCCTACAACCAGTTAAGATCTATTTTCCTGCTTGAAAAAGCCTGGTCCTCTTATTTCAATCCTAGTCTGTGCCCGTGGGCTGCAGACACACCCTTGGCTTATGCTGAAATCTGAGATGACTTCCATTAAAAAGAGAGCAAAACCTCAGACTGACTGCAAGGAGACTGTCAGTGCCCACATGGGTCATATAGTGGGAAACGGCCATGTTGCTACTGTGCAAGGTGCCAATTCAAACAAACCCCAGTGTGTTATGGCTCTTCAGTGGAGTTTGAGGGAGAAGATGTATGTGTTGGGTGCGTAGTTGTGTTGCTCATACTTGAGTGTAATTTCGACATGAGTAAAGATGCTGGCGGACTCAAAAATATATGATGCATTTTGTGAGGATTTTTTTGCTTGTTTTAATGTTCTCGTGTGAAGTCTTTTCTCTATGACAGGGGTTTTCAACATAAATCTGGGGAGCTGCCAATTATTGCTTGATCTCATCATATTTTTGTGGGAAAAAAGGAAAATATATGGTAAACATTACAATAATACAATGTTTAAGCTAATTCTTTTCATTGTCCCTCCAACATAGCTGTTTTTTTTTGCATTAAATACTTTATGAGATGGAGAAAAAAAAATTGGCAATGCTTTTTAGTGAGCGAACAAGTTTTTGCGAGGGGATCCAAAGGTATTGTGAGCGGACGCAAAGTTTCTCTTTTTTTAATATTGCTATTTAGGTTTGAAGTGTAAAAATGTTTGTTCTCTGTGAGCGAACGCAAAAGCATTGAAATATATTTTTTCCTCCCATCTCATATTTTTCCATCACCATGTCCCTTTAGGGGCTCCGTAGTTCTGTTCTTTTGTCAATTCATTATTATTTAGTTGTATTGCTATTTAGGTTTAATTAATTTTCATTTCGGTTTTAGATTTTATTTACTTCTAATTAAAAATTTTAGAGCTTCGACTTAAACTTATTTCAGTTTATTGCCAAGGCAACATCTCTAACTTTCGTTTCGTAAGTTTTTCAACTAATATTTATATTTTATTTGATCTTTATTTCAACTAACATAATTTTTTTTAACAGTTTTGGTTCACATCCTGAGTTCAGCAAAATAGTAACTTGCAAGCAACCAACATCTGAAACATTTTGTTACAATTTTCCAGTTTCTTAGTTCATTTTGTACGAAATTGCTCTTTTAAAATGAATCTAAGCCACCGTGGTGAGACACACCGGAAAAATAGGATAGTATTTCTCGTGTGAGGGACAAGTGGGGAAAAGAAGGGCTTAGAGATGCATATCTTCACTCCCTACCCCTATGAGAGTCCAGGCTTCATCTAACGCTTTACTTTCTCTTGTAAACATTTTATGAACTGTATTGCAGTCATGATTAAGTGTTTTGGGGGGAAACATAAAACATCACTTTTGGATCCTGAATTGAGCTTTTACAGGGATTGAGCCATAATAGAAGTGTTTAGAAAGACTCTGTGAACATTATCCAGTGGGGGTGAATTGGTGCATGGGCTTCTCTCTTGATTTACATGTGAGCAGGATGTTAGCCACACTCCCACTGATCTCTCCGCGTGGGCACGGCTGACCAGCGCAGCGAATGGGATGTGTGTACGTGAGAACAGAGAGAAGATGAGTCTCGGGGGTCGCCGGAGACCCCAGGGGGAGATGGGATGGATCTGCCGCTCTGGCTGTGAGGTCCCACAATGGACAAGACGGTGGGAGAAAACATTTGTGAGTGTTTAGCAGAGAGCATTTGCATGGAATCTGGGCTCTCCTCCAGAAGCTGTTTTCCATACACACTGTAAAACCTGTGAGGAATTCTCCATCATGGACTGCTTACACACTAAACACTCTTTTTATGCATTAATTTCTCTTGATGTAGATTAAAGGAATATTCTGTGTTCAGTACAAGTTGAGCCCAATCGACAGCAGTTGTTTACCACAACATTTTTTAATTTTCTTAAAAAAAAAAAAATTGGATTACAGTGAGACACTTAATGTAAGTGAACATTAAACTATTCCAGCAGTGTAGCCACAGGATGTAAACAATTTGCTTTTAACTTGATTTTAATTGTGGGACAAAATCACTTACTTAACTTTTCCGTGTCAATTTAAACCAATTTTACAATTTTAAACAACCGTGAATGATGAGAACATCTTTACAGCTTAAATAATACATACGTTTTTATAGACGGATTCATGTAAGTTGCGTTTATAAAATTGTAAGATTCACATTTCAGCTTTTAAATCCACTGACAATTGGCCACAATTTATTTCTAATGTCCCTCATTGTAACATGTTAAAAAGAATTTGAAAGATTTTTTTTTTTTTTTTTTTAAAGAAAAAGAGGCAAAAATATTCTGTTTGGCAATTAACAATATACCTGTTTAATGAGCTTAACTTATATTGAACAATGCAGTAAGTCGTGACAGGTTTGATTTGCATTACTAGATGGCTATACACTTAAAAATAAAAAATAAAAATTTTGCATTGATGCCATAGAGGAAAAAAATTGTGTTCCCCAAAGTAACCTTTCAGTGAACCTTTCTAAAAAGAGCCATTTTTCTTTTCTTAGGGTATAGAACATTTGAATAATTAGAAGAACTTTTTTCACAATGAAAAAAACTTTCGTGGTACGGAAAGGTTCAATGGATGTTAAAGTTTTTTTCATAGATACCAATAAAGGAGTGTATGTTTAAAATGACATGCTGTAACACACATGGTAGCCAACCGTACTATAGAAAAAAAAAAAAAAAAATTCTGGCATTGATTGAAAAACTTTCCATGATGTTAAAGCTCCAACATATGAAATCAGATATAACAGAGTAAAACACATGGCCAATATTTAGTCCAACATCTATTATTTTGAATCACTTGCTGAAAGCCAAGAATAAAGTCTGAAAGCAACAGACTGTTTACACTTATCCCCCCATCTGCAGATCGCTAATTTAATGCTGGCACTGAGAGATGTTCTCAAGTGATAAGAATAGTCTTTTTGATACACAGCATGAACCCAGAACAACCACACAACCACGTGCGTTTAAATGAGAAGATGCAGTTGACACAGCTGGGAGGAACTGAACCCTCTCTGCCGTGAAGTATGTCTTATGCACCATAAAGCGGTTATATAAAACTTTGATGAATCACTGCATGTCTGGACTCAAGGTTTCCTTCAATATTGTATTTAGTCTCCAAAGGAACTAATGCAATAAGTGGAATAGCTTAACTTTCAGGACTTTACACTCTTAAAAATAAAGGTTCCAAATGGAGTTTTTTACAGCAAGATCCATTTTCCAACCTTTC